GCCAGGTGGGCTGGAATTCCCCGGAGCCTGGCTGAAACTCCGGCCCCCGCCCAGCCCAGTCGACTGGGCGGGGGCCCTGAGCGTCACCCCGGGCCCCTCTTGGGTTCTCCCAATCCCCACTCTGCCCAACCTTGGCCCTAACCTCCGGAGGAGAGGAAGGAGGGGTAGCAGACCCAGGACTCTGACCCTGCATGTCCCCCCTCTACCATGATCTGCCCAGACCCCCGCCCCGACACCCCATCTCTCCAGGACACCCGCCAGCCTTACCTGGGCCCCACTGAGAAGGGAATAAAAGCCAGCGGGGACCTCTCCTGGACGTATTCTGGGTTGAAGCGGGAGGGGTCATAGACCTGGGGGCAGGACAGGACAGGGCGGCTATGTGGGGTCTCCCAGAACAGCCTGCATTGGAGAGGGTGACCTCTGATTTCCCGGGTGTAAACCCTGCCCCCTGCTCCAGGACCCCTGGTATGGACAAGGTGAGGATGAGGGAAGCACCTCTGGGTTGGGCCACACAGATGGGTTGTGATGGAGCCCAAAAATATTGATGAAGCAGGTAACACCTGTGGGAGAGAAGGGGACAGTCAGGACAAAACATCGCTTCCTGGTGGAGCCCTCATCCTGCCCGGGATCCTCCCCTGAGTTTGTGGGCACCTTTGGGGATGACTCGGCCATCTGGGAGTACAACGTCCTGGGCACAGCTTCGGGAGATGACTGTAACGGGGGGGTGCAGCCGCAGACTCTCCTTGATACACATGGTCAGGAAGGGCAACTGGGCCAGGTCGTCCCTTAAGTAACCCCCATCCCAACAGTTACCCAGGGAACAAAATCAGAGACCACCAGCCCCTCTGTTGTCCAGTGAGACCTTTTTATCCTATGATAAAAATGAAACTCCAGATGGATCAAATATTGAGAATTAGAAAAGTATCAGTGAAAATTCAGCCAGTAGTTTTAGATGGAAAATACTGATACAATATCCAAAAGAAAATTATAAAATTGATAGGAAATGGCGTCACATTAGAAAAGTATGGAAAATTTAACAAGTATTTTTAGATGGAAAACATTGGCATAACATCCAAAACCAAATTACAAAATTGTTAATAACTTGGCATCATTATATTCCTTATAACAAGAGAGCAAAATCAAAATGTAAAGAGATCTACTGTTTTACTCTTTCGTTATCCTAGAGATACTAGCAAATGCAATTATACAAGAAAAAGTGAGTAATGCAATTTGAAATTAAACACATAAAGGAGAGTAGTATGATTTGAAATGTAGGCATAAGCGTATTCTTTTGATAGTGATTTTATACTTAGAAAATATAGGAAAATCCACCAAACAACTTTTATAAACATTGAAGATCCAATAAGGGGATTGAATTTTTTTTTAAGTTTTTGCCTTGGGTACATGTGGTTGCCAGAGAGAGAAACAGAGACAGTGAGGGAAAATGAGAAGTCACCCCCCAAGGGGGGGATAGCCATACTTCAGTCCCTTCTTCATTCTCCTGGAATCTTGGACATGCACACACACACACACACACACACATGTGCCCAGTGTGATTTTTGAAGCCACCAGGTCTGGGACTCAAACCATGGTTGGCCGTGTGGGAGTCAATAACATAACCACCATGCTATCTGCTGGCTCCAGGTACTGAAATATTTAATCTTCTCTATGTGCAGCTATTTGAAAATGTAATACAGTCAACTAATACAGTGAACTAGTTCAGAGTTTGAAAAGTATAAAACATTACACACACCAATGGCCCAATACTAACCACTTCCCCTCTGCACAGGTTTCCTACATTATTATTTTATGTATCCTTTCAGAACTACTTTTTAGAATCTTTTAAAACTTATGTAATAGTGTTCTATTGAACTGTTACACACTGATTTGTGTCTTTTTTTATTTAACAGTATGTTAGTCTCTTCATAGTATGTCTCTTGGAACTTGTGTCAAAATAGGGTTTTTCCTACATTGAAGCTATAAAATAATTTTTGTGTGACTTCTTCGATGACTTTAAAGGCTTGTTAAATATTTCTTTCTTTTAAAAAACCCCTATTTTCCTTAACTATTTTATTTATATAACGTTACTTTGTTATATGATATGAGCAACAGCTTAGGTCGAGATTTTTTCCTTGGTGGCTGCCCAGTTGTTGATGGGGAGGCAATGTGGGCATGTTTGCTCATGGGAGAGACTGAATGAATGAATGATGCAGATGTTTAGGGCAAGAGATAGGTTGCTTTTAACCCCAGGCATATCCTGTGAACCCCAAGACTGGACAGTAGGGTAGGAAATAAGGTACAAAAGAAGAGCAAACATCTAGGGAGTGCAAATGTTTGGGAAAAAATATTTCAGAGAGAAAAGGGAGTGTAGAGGAAGTTCATTTACTGAACATATGCTAAGGGATGTCGTCTGCCCTCAAACACTATCAATAATTCTCTCAGTATCCCAAATTTTTCTGCCCCCAAAGCCTGCAACCTTGCCCCTGCCACCCTGACTTGGTACCAGGTCCTGCCTTGGGTCTCTGTTCCTATTCTCACTAGGCAATTAGGACAGAATCAGTAAAAAGCCTCTCCCTCTTGACACACACACCCACCCACCTACCTACCCACACCCAGCAGCAGAACCAATGAGAGGGGCTCCAGAACAGGCCACCAGGACCTGCACTCACCACTCGATCTCTTTAGGCTTGCGGTCCCTCAGGAGTTCTCGCACCTCCTGCCGGCAGCGCTCCTGGTAATCTGGGTGCCTCGCGAGATTGTACAGGACCCAGGAGAGGCCACTGGCTGTGGTGTCATGACCTGAAGGAAAGCCAGGCAGATTTGGGTCTCTGCTGCTTCAGCACTGGAGTGGTGGACAGCTCCCATGCATTGAAGATGAGGATGGGAAGAAATAGGAAGGATGGGCAGAATGGAGTGGCCCATCAAGTTCCTGGGATGGAGAGACCCCTGTCCCCACTGGAGTCTTACAGTGGGACTCACCCCCAAACATGAAGGTGTCCGCCTCTGCTCTTATGTCCTCGTCGGACAGCTCCTTCCCATCTTCATCCTGTAGACAAGACGAGACCCCCAGAATCACAAGACCTCCTGAATCTAACCTGAGACAGCCTCTGAGGCTCTACTATCTTTCCAGAAACCCAAGCCCACCCTGAGCTCCTAGACCTCTCTTGGTCACTGTTACCAGAGCCCGACTGCATAAGCTTCCTTCCTGACTTGCCTCCTGTTTTGTCCCTGGTGGGAGGAGTCGATGATCCATAAATAGTTTGATGTTTCTCCATGATGAGGGCTTTCTGAGAAAAAAGCTACTTGGCAACCTGGATTGTAGCTCGAATGAATGGCCTTTGCCTTGGAAGTTAGACATTAAACAATGCTCCATAGATATTTGCTCACATTCTAGGGTAGTAAATCCAGAGGATCTTATGTTATCTCCCCTGGAAGTATTTAGGTTGTAAATTTATAGACTTTGAGATCTCAGTGGAGTGGATTTGCTCGTATTCTATAGCAGAGAGCTCTGTGCCTTTCTGTCTCTGTATCTCTTTGTCTCTCCATGGAGGGAAGAGGGACACCAATGTCAATTGTCCTATATAAGCTCCAAGATTCATAATGTGAGGAGCCCTCTCCTGCTGTGCAAACTGTGCCACACATATAGGTAACTGACTGTGGTGCCTTCATATGAGGGGCAGCCGGACAGGCTTGGGTCTCTGCATGGCTTCAGCACTAGAGGGCTGGACAGCACCTATGCATTGAAGGCCTGGGGAGTGGGGGGGAGGAAAGGATGGGCGATATTGTGTTGCTCTCAGAATTGGGTAATGGGAGAGAGCTCTAAAATTCTACTCTGACTGCTCTTGTTGGTGTGAGTAATAAACCAGTTGCTCTGATCCAGGCATTTGGTGTATCTACCCGTATAGAGACAGACATACATCTAGAAATATAGAAGGACCAGCAGGTGATGCAGTGGTTAAAGCACTGGACTCCCTCATGGTCAACTGTAGTTCTAGTCCTGGACCTGGTGGCTTGCAACTCATGCTGGATGCATGTGCGTGCAAACCTGAAATCCCAGGAGGAGAATGGAAGAGAAGGGATTGTGGCATGGCCATCCCCCCAGAGAGTGATTTCTCACTTTCTGTCTTTCTATCTTCTTGGTTTCTGCTGTGAGCATACATGCCCTATAGCAAAAATCTAAAAAAAAAAAAAAAAAATGCAGCATGCTGACTCATTAGCTTGTACACAGAGTAAAATCACAAGCTCTTTAGTTTCAGACTTAGCAGTCCCCAGATAACTGCATTCCATAAACTCATTTCTAACCTGTCTCCTCCTCCATCAAACAATTTCCATGGCTTCCCGCTGCCTTCTAGATCAAGTTCAAGGTCTTTGAGGAGACATGTGACAATGAAGTCTATTCTACCTCTTGCATTCGGATCCCCGAGAAGCCCACCTTGGCGAGGAGGAGCACATCGATGAAGTCCAAAGTCTTCGCCTTGGCCTTGGCCTTGAGGGAGCCATCCACCCCCTGCCTGGGGAGGGTGCGGCGCCGCTCCTGGATGACGGCATCTGTGAAGTCGTGCACTAGGCGGCACGCCCTGCGGAAACGCCGCCCATCGGGGGTGAGGTAGTACAGGAAGTCCTTCTGCAGGAAGATCTGCTGGTGCCTCTTCGCCACCAGGGCGCTGAGCTCCACGATGGCAGCGATGTACTCACTGGGTTTCCTGCAGGAGAAGGGCATGAAGGGAGGCGGCACCTTCTTACGTCTGCAGCCTGAGGAGCACCCGACTAGCTACAGCCATGAGCTACCCCCCATTAGAAAACTGAGCATCCACAAGGATACGTGGTGGGGATGAGCCATGACTCTAGACTCTCCAAACTCTCTTCTCTCCCTGCATTTCATCTCTGTGAGCTGCCTCCATGCCCTGGACACCCAGGGCAAAGCTTGGGCATCATGCTCTTTCCTCTGCATATACCCAGTCTCCACTCCTGCTCCTTCTCCCTCCCCAAAACTGTCCACACAACTTAGACATCGTTCTCTTCCAACTGGTCCATACCTGGCCTCTTCCCTAGCTCTTTGCACCCAGCAGTGGCTCCCTGAAAACTTCAAGATACAATTCATACCTTTTTGTCTGAATTTCCAGTGTTCTTAAAATCTAGCCTCTTGTCTCCTCTGCAACCTCATTTTTACTGTCTGTTGTACCCACTGTTCGTTTGAGCCTCCTTGCCTTTGTTCAAACTATTCCACCTACCTGAAAGAACTCTCTCTCTTCCATTCTTTGTTTGTTTGTTTTAAAGAGGTTTTCACCTTAGGGTCCATGTACTCACCAGAGCGAGAGAGAGAAAGAGAAAGTGAAGAAATCACCTCCTGGGGGGATGGCCACACTGTAATCCCTTCTGCCCCATTCTCCTTCTGGGATCTTGGGTATGCATGTACATGCACCTGGTGTGACTTTTCAAGCCGCTGAGTCTGGGACTCAAACCATAGTCGGCCATGTGGGAGTCCAGTGGCATAATCACTACGCCATCTGCTGGTCACCTGTTCTCTGTCCTTTAATGCCTAGTTCTGACCTACCTCATCCAGGAAGGCTCTTCAAATCTCCCTGGTGAATCTTTCCTTCTCCACTTACTCCCTGAGGTACACAGTCAAGCTCCCAGGTCCTGGGAAGGACTCACTCCTGACAGTTGCTGTCAAAACTGAAGACGCACTTCTGCAGACTGTCCAGGGTCATGAGGCTGATGTGCTCGAACATGTCCAGGCGGGCACTGCCCTCCGAGGCCAGGCACTTCCACTTGGCCTGGTCAGAGAAAGGGACAGGGGCCAGCAGGTGGCGTGGTGGTTAAGGATACTGGACTCCCACATGGCTAACTGCAGTTCGTGTTCTGAACCTAGTGGCTTGCTTTCTCACTTTCTCTCTCTCTCTCTCTCACTCTGTCTCTCTCTGGACAAAATTAAAATAAAGTTAGTTAAATAAAATGTTAGAAAAAAGAGAGAGAGAGAGAGTGGGAGGCATGTGCTTGGGGTCCGGGTGGCGAGGAGGAGGATGTGGTGCACAGAGGGCAGATAGCTGCCAAGCTGGAAGAGTGTTTCCCAGTGTATTCTGTGGAATTAGCACCTACTGCGTTCTCAGCACTGTGCCATCTATAAAAGATCATCATGGGAACAGCGATAGTAGTCATGTAAAAATCTTTTTACTGAAAAAGCTGCTTGAGTGTCCGAAGAGAGGCACCGTTGGAACACTAAAGAGAGATCATGATTAGTGTTCCAACAGTCCTTTTGGATTTCTTTTTAATAATGTGTGACCAGGGGCCAGCAGTTGGCGTGATGGCTATGACGCTGGACCCCCACGTAGTCGACTGCGGTTCGTGTCCTGGACCCGGTGGCTTAAAAAAACTCACGCCGGGCGCGTGTGCGCGCGTGCCCCAGGAGAAGGGATTGCGGTGTGGTCATCTCCCCGGTGGGGTAATTTCTCACTTTCTGTCTCTGTCTCTGTCTCTGTCTCTCTCTCTCTCTCTCTGGCGAGCGCACGCATCCTATAGCAAAAATCTCTCTCTCAAAAAAAAAATAATGTGTGACCCTTCACCTTTGATCCCCTGACCTGCATTACCTTGGTAACCATTTCATTTTTTAAATTTAATTTCATTTTTAAATTTTGGTGTACAAACTGTAGCATTTCATCTCTCAGAGTGTAACACGCTGATTTCCTTAAAAAGAGTTACCCCTTTGATAAATTTGTAAAATGCTGTCTTCATTTTCTGTATTAAAATTCATTTCCGTTTTCTAAATTTAAAAAAAAAAAAGAGAGAGAGAGAGAAAGGAACAGAGCTGCAGTGGGCCTTGGTTTTCTTGAGTCACTCCCCAACCCCAGCCACTGGAATAGACTTCCCCAGGACCAGCACCTTGGGTTTTGCTCCAGACAGTCAACCTCAGGGAAGACCAGGCTTGGGTGGGAATAGAAGCTGCCTCTACAATATTAACAGAAGAAGACCTGGGGACAGCAGGTGGTGTGGTGGTTGGTACACTGGACTCCCACATGGTCAACCATGGTTCGAGTCCAGACCTGGTGGCTTGCTTTCTCACGTTTCCTCTCTCTCTGTCTCTGTCCCTCTCTGGTCAAATACATATGATAAAATTAAATAGATCTTACCAAAAAAGAATAATAATAAGAGCTGAAGACTTGGGGGCCAGTAGATGAAATGATGGTTGGGGCACTGGATTCCCACATTGCCAACCGTGCTTTGATTTTAGGATCAGATGACTTACTTTCTCACTTTCTGTTTGTGTCTCTCCATCTCTGTTGAGCAAACACGTCTGCTTTGATTCTATGCTGAGCTTTCAACTTTCTTTTTTTTTAAATTTTTAATTTTTTATTATCATCATAATCTTCTTTATATTACATTGGATTACATATAACTTTACAGTGTATTACATTGCTTTTTCAAAAGGGAATGCCATGCATGTCAATCAATACAGAGACATTAATCCCCCACTTCATCATTCAATATCTTTTCAATGTTTTCCCCAATCAGTATTATTATTATTCTAATTATTTTTTAAAACAGTCAATCGCTATTTCTCATTTTGCTTGTAAAAAGACTTTGCCCATCGTGAAGTGCTTCTCAGACCAATCCAGTTGAGAATACTATACATGTCATCATCAACAGTTAATAAGCCATATCTGTTTCTCACTAACGTCCTGCCTCTCTATTATTCACTTGCTATCTTTCTCTATTCTCTTCTCTTCACCTCCCCTATTCCACAGAGCTTTCAACTTTCTTTAGCCAATACAATGTGGTGGAAATGATGAAGTGATAACACTTTTTTAATAAAAACTTTGTTTATTTATTTATATTAATTTGACCAGAGAGGGACAGAGTGAGAGAGAGAGAAAAAGGGAAAGCAAGAAAGAAAGCCACGAGGTCTAGGACTTGAACCTTGGTAGGCCATGTGGTAGTCCAACGCCCTTAACCACCACACCACCTACCGGCCCTGATGAGGTGATAACTCTAATAAATGTAAGTCCCGAGAGGCACCGCAGCCTCTTCTCACTGCCTATGCCATGTGAACAAGCCTAGGATGGAGAGAACCACATGGAAAGACCAGTTGTCCCAACTGAGGCCATGGCCATGGGAGATCAGCCTGAAGCCAGCTAAACATCAGATATGTGAGAGAACTGAGCCAGGGTCTGCAAGGATGCCTTCTTCACCAGTAGCTGATTATATGGCATCATAAGTGACCCCGTCCATGTCCTGTATAATCAGTCCACCACCCACAGACTAAAGCAATACTTTTTTTTTTTTTTAAGAGATTTTTGCTATCGGGGATGAGTGCTCGCTGAAAAGACTGACAGAAAGCAAGAAATCCCCCGGGGATTATGACCATGCTGCAATCCCTTCTCCTCCATTCTCCTCCCTGGATCTTGCGCATGTACGCACATGTGCCTGGTGTGAGTTTCAAGCCTCTAGGTCTGGGATTCAAACCATAGTCAGCTGTGTGGGGGTCCAGTGATGTAACTATCATGCTATCTGCTGGTCCCACCTTTTTCTTTTTTAAAATTTGCTATAGGACACATGTGTTTACTAGATAGAGACAGAGAGAGCAATCCCCTCACCCCCAAGGGGGGATGGCTAGCTTGCAATCCTTTCTCTTCCATTTTCCTCTTGAGATTTTGGGCACATGTGCCTGGTGCTGCCAGGTTCAGGACTCTAACTGTGCAGGTAGCCGTATGGGATCCAGCTGCCTTAACCATCATGCCACTGACTGGCCCTGCTGACCACTGCTTTTTTAATTTTTTTTTTTAGAGAGTTTTTTTTTTTTTCTCTCTAAGGTGTGTGTGTGCTCACTGGAGAGACAGAGAGAGAGAGACAGAAAGTAAGAAATCACCCCCCCAAAGGGGATGGTCATGCCACAGTCCCTTCTCCATTCTCCTTTTGGGATTTTGGGCCCACATGCACATGTACCTAGGGTGAGTTTTAAGCTGCCAGGTCTGAGACTTGAACCATAGTGGACTACATGGGAGTTTAGTGACATAACCATTTCACCATCTACTGATCCCAATCACCCTTTAAGTAGGGATTAAAAAATAATTGTTTTATTTAACTTTATTTATTATTATTATTATTATTATTATTATTATTTTCCAGTTTGATCAGAGAAAGAGAGAGGGAAAATGAGAAGGCAAGCCACCAGGTCCAGGACTTGAACTGCATGCAATCAGCCATGTGAGAATCCAGCACCTTTAACCACCACACCACCTGCTGGCCCATTAAGCAGGGGTTTTTATCCCCATTTTACAGATGAGGAAACCAAAGTTTGGAAAAAGAGAACAGTGGTCCTAAGGCCATTCAGAAGGGTCAGAATTTCATACCGCATTTTTTTTTAAAATCTTATTTAATATTTATTTTTTTTGTTTGTTTTGTTTTGTTTAAATTTGACCAGACAGAGCCAGAGAGGGGCAGAGAGAGAGAAAGTGAGAAAGCAAGCCACCAGGTCCAGGATTTGAACCATGATTGGCCATGTGGGAGTCCAGCGCCCTTAAGCACCACACCACCTGCTGGCCCCCCATACCACATATCTCTGAGGTCAGTTCCTGAGGCTGCAGCCAGGATACTGGATTTAGGAGACTCACGTGCATGATGTTGGCACTCTTGTTGAAAATCTCCACGTAGGGCTTCAGGATGTTGAAGTGGAAGGCAGGCGTCAGCATGCGACGGTGGCGTCTCCACTTGTCACCGGCACTCAACAGGAGCCCATCCCCTAGTAGGGCAGCCATGGGCAGTGGGCACAGGCACCTTCTCATAGGCACCTGTGGTTGTCCCAGACCCCTTCGCCTGCAGTTACTCACCCAGCCAGGGCTTCAGGAAGCCACCAGAAGTCATATTCTTGGGTGCACCAGCAGCTGACATGAACAAGGGCTGTCAGGAGCCATGGAGATAGGGAGGGAGGGGAGAGGCTTTGGGTGGAGGGTGAAGGCTTCCCAGCCAGGAGTCTGCACTTCCCTTGCAAGGCTAGTGTAGCAGGAAGGGGGACAAAGACAGATGAAGCAGAAAGACGGGAGATGCAAGGGGGAAGTAGACCAAGCCACAGCTCACAGTACAACAAAGACACACCCTGACATGGTACAGCAAATCCCAGCCCATTCTGATGTTGTTACTACATGCAACTCTGTTTTGGACCCCCTGGCACTGCCCAGTGCTCTGGAAAATGCCTTTGTATGGACCTGGGACACCCTTTCTGTCCCAGCACTCTCCGATATCTCCTGACATAGACCAGGACGTATGACAGGGACACCACATGGGTTCATGTCTTGACATGGCCACAGCATACATGACCTACCTTGACATAACATACATACTCTGACATGTGCCCCAAACAGTCTGACTTGATATGCTCCAGACAGGCTCAAATATGATCTCATCAACATCCCAGACGTGGCCCAATGGGACCCTACTGAGCCTCAGCCTTGACCTGAATACACCTCAATACCTGCCTTGGAGAAGACTCAGATGCGTTCTCAGACATTTTATGAAGCGACCCTGGGTCCCAGACATCAGAGGAGCTCAAAACACGGCCCAGACGTGACAAGCCGGAAAAAAAGATGACCTCAAGCAGCATCTCAAGACTAGAACCACAGAGACCTCAACATGCCCCAGATGTCCTCAGCCACAGCTGGGCTCCAGACATGGCAGCCTTCATGTGACCCCAGGTGTAAACCAGATGTAACCAGGACCTGTGGCAAATGTGGCCACACAGAAGACATCACAGAGAAGTGTCCCAGACAAGCACAGACTTGGCCAGAGGTCAGACAGGTGGACATCCACAGAGGCAGCAGCATTTCCACCACAGTCCTGTCTCCCTCAAGCCACCTGGCCAGCTGCAGGCAGCACAGAGACCTCACAGCAGGCAAGCTGTGGCTGGTGCGGGGTCTACCTAGAGCAAAGATCATGGGCTTGCTGTAGGTGGGATGGAAAATGCAGACAACTGCATGCCCAGGTGCTGCACCAGCAGCACACATCCCCGAAGGTGCTCATCAGGCCCTAAGTGTATAGGAGACCTTCCTCTGAGCTCTGAATCTGGAGAAGAACAAAGAGGACCAACTACACTCTTCCAGGATGCCAGAGAGAAGGGCCTGCAGGGCACAGACCGAGCCCTGAGCCCAACCTGGGAAGTCCTTTCAGCAGCTCGCCATCCGCTCTGTACTGAGCCTCCTCCTGGGCTTCCTCCCCACATCCTCAGCACACAACCATGAGGGTCTCCCACTTACAAGGGCAGGAAAAGGCATTCTCCATTTAGACACCAAACACCATGTTCATCTAGTGTTTCTTCTATCTTTTTGCCCAGATAAAAAGACTGAGGCTCAGGGGCTGGCAGGTGGCGTGGTGGTTAAGGCCTAGACTCTCACATGGCCAACTGCACTTCAAGTCTTGGATGGGGTAGCTTGCTTCTCTCTCTCTCTCTCTCTCTCTCTCTCTCATAAGTGCACATATCCTATCACAAAATTTAAAAATTATAATAAAATTTTTTTTCCCAGAGAATGATTTTTGCTATAGGGTGTGTGCACTTGCCGGAGAGAGACAGAAAGTGAGAAATCACTCCCCAGGGGAAATGGCGACACCACATCTCTTCTCCTCTATTCTTCCCTTGGGATTTTGGGCATACATGCACACGTGCCAAAGTGTGGATTTTAAGCTGCTGGGTCTGAGACTCAAACCACAGTCAACTCCATGGTTGTCTAGTGCCTTAATCACTATGCCACCTGCTGGCTCCCTAAATAAAAAAAAATTCCTACTCATTTTTCCAGACCCAGCTCTAGCAACTCTTCCTTCAGGTAGACTACCAGATTTCTCCAGCCTGCTCTAGCAGAGACCTTGCTTCTCCACTGAGACTGCCACACTTTATCTCCCTCTAGCCAGTTCCAGAACATAAGAGGTAAGGAATGCCTCAGGTCAGATTCATCTCCTCATTGGAGATTCCTTCAGGACAGGGCCTTGAACTGAGGCCTCTTGGGATTCCAGTGGTGCCCAGGACACCAGGATGGCGAGGGTGGGGTGCAATGCAGATGGCATCAGAGAGAGGAGATAATGAGATGGGAATTGGTGCATACACGGAAGGAAGAGGAAGATGGCTGAGAGAGGAGGAAGGAAGGGCCAGGGTCCTGCAGGGACTACATGGAAGCGTGGGGGTAGAGAGACCTTAAGTCCTTCAGTGTGCCATGGCGCCCACCACCATAAGCCCTGCATGGGTACCTGAGGCGTTGATGACACACTGGATGGTGTCTGGGTGGTACAAAGTGATGAGGGGGAAGATGGGACCCAACCATCTGGTAAAGCCCAGGGGGTAGGTGGCCACCAGCTGAGTCAGGATTCTCATGCCCTGTTCCGTGGGGGTGACCTGCAAGCAAGACAGGAATGGGTTACCTGTGATGGTAATTTTAGAGGTCAGTTTGACTGGGCTAAGGGACTCCCAGCTAGCTGGTAAAATGTGATCTCTGAGTGTGTTTCTGAGGGTATTTCCAGAAGAGATTAGGATTTGAGTCAGGGGATCAAGGAAGGAAGATTCCTCTCTCCCCAGTTTGGGTGAGCACCTTACAATCCATTGAGGGTCCAGAGAGGACAAAAGGCAAAAGAAGCACTAATTTGCTCTCTCTTTTGGAGGAGGGATATCCATTTTTTTCTCCTGCCCTAGAGTTCTGGATGACAGAACTCTAGATCTTAGGATTTTGGACTCCAGAACTTACAACAGCAATGTTCAGGTCTTTGTCCTCGGGCTGAATTACACCGCCAGCTTCTCTGGTAGACCAGCTTGCAGTTGGTGTAATGTGGGACTTCTTGGCTTCCACAATCACAGAGGCTAGTTCTCATGATAAATCCCCTCTTTTCTCTGTGTCTATCTACCTTATCTCTATTTATCATCTATCTTCCTACCTATCTATATCTATCATCTATCTATCTATCTTTATTATCTATGTATGTATGTATGTATGTATGTATATATATATCATGTTTCAGTATACCAGTCTGTCATTTATCAGTCTACCTACTTACCACTTTCCTATCATTTGTCTACCTATTTGTCTGTCATCTACCAATAATCTATCTAATCTATCATCTGCTGACCTATTATCTATTATCACCTATCTATTCTCTACTGTCATCTCTCTCTTTCCATCTCTCTACCTATCATACACCTATCATCTATATAATCTGTCATCTATCTACTGTCACTTATGTATCTGTCATCTATCTACCTATCACCTATGTATCTATCATCTTTCCATCACCTGTCTGTCTGTCTGTCTATCTATCTATCTATTGATTCTATCTATTTACCTTCTTACCTACGTACCTACTTATCATCTCCATCTATATAGCCTATTGATTCTGTTTCCTTGGAGAACCCTGATTAATGCACCTCCCCATAGGAGCCACAGTAGGTCCCCTCTGCAGCCTTCAGAGTGGAACCACCCTGCAGTGAGGGTATGTCTGGATTCTGTATAGATGGAGAGAATCTCTGCTTCCTTCTGCTCTTTTGGGGAAGAAGAGTCCTGAAGGCCTCTCCAAGTCCAAAGAGTGTATCTGGGGCCAGCAGGTGGCATAGTGGTTATGTAGCTGGATGTAGGGAGTAGCCTGAATCTGAGCAAACATGGTGACCTTTAGACACATGTAGAAATTCTATGGGCAATCATTTGCAAGGCAATGACTCACATTAACATATGAATACACTACTTGCCTATGCTCAAAACTGTAAGGCAGTATCTGTTAAAGGAAGCCACATGTGTTAATCAGACTATGCCCCAAAAGATAAGATAAAACTTACATAGAAGTATTTGGTACTAGGCGTCTTTGCATCTTCAGCCAATTAACATCTGAAAACAACTGGCTTTGCATTCCACTTCCTGCCACCCCCCCCTTCTTCCCTTTAGAAGAATAAACCTGGAGCTGGCAAGTGACATGGTTAAGGGCACTGGACTTTCACATAGTTGACCGCAGTTTGAGTCCCAGACCTGGCAGCTTGAATTCTCTCTCTCTCTCTCTCTCTCTCTCTCTCTGGTCAAATTAAAATGAAATAAATGAATAAGTAAAGTTAAATAAAATAATTCTTTTTTAAAAAACAAAAAGAATAAACCTGGAACCAGCTCAGGGTCATGTGATTGCCTCCATCAGAGGAGTCCAGGTCACCCGACCTCAGCTTTTTATGTATGTCTTTGTGTGTTTATTTTTATATTTATTTCTAATCCACGTCGCTCCCATTCAGACCATGCATTCAGCCATGCGGGACATGCTTGACCACGTGCCTGACCACGGTTTGAGTCCCAGACATGGTGGGTTGAAATTCACGCAGGGTGTGCATGCATGCATGCCCAAGATCTGAGGAGGAGAATGGGGGAAAAAGAATTGTGGTGTGGCCATTCTCCCTGGGGAAGTGATTTCTTACTTTCCACTTACTGTTTGTGTCTCTCTCTCTCCCCAGTGGATACACATACCCTAAGACAAAAACCTCTACCAGAAAAAAAGAGTGTATCTGAGGGTAGATGGAAAAGGCTTCCATCCAGCTGCCCACAGAAAAAGTCACCTTGGCCCAGGAAGATTGCCACTCTCACCCTGGGAGTGGTTCTGGTCATGAGGGCAGCCAAGGGGAAGGTCCCTGAGGGGCAGATTCGCAGGCAGCTGGGTAGCCCCAGGACTCAAGTCTCAGAGCTTACATCCTCCCTGGTCCCCACTAATCCACACAGACACCACACCAGATCCTCCACCTGAGAAGGAAGTTTGTAGACTCGCCTTTTTCATGGCAGCCTCAGTAAACCCAAAGGAGTGGACTGCAGGCTCAGCTTAAATTTGGCGTCTGCAAATACCACAGGGATCGCCAATATATTGAAAGCACCACACGGATGTGGTCTGGTTGGAGACTAACTTCAGCCCAAGGCTGTAGGGAGCACCAGCTCCCAGTGACTTGCTCAACAAGGAAGTGGGTTCAGTGACCACAGCCTATACCCATGGGGAGCCCCAGAGTGAATTTCACTGCCCAGTCCACTTCCTGGAAGCTAGGAGCTGGATTTTTGCATTCTCATACCAGGCTGTTGTTGGCCTCTGCTCTCCACCACACCTCTGGGAGTGAGGACATGACCTTACAGGCATCCAGGAGCAAAAGTTCCTGTCTCTGGTAGCTTCCATGAGCCAAGGGCACTTCTCAGAAAAAGAGGACAACAGTGACCAGTAGTGACCATACTCAGAGCAGCTGGCAGAGGGTGTCCAGCCTTTGAAGGGCTCTGGGCAGGACACAACAATGTCAACTACAGCTGCAGGGAGAAAGGGAGATTAAGAGAGAAATGCAGGGAAGAGACATACATGAGAGACATAGACAGAGGATAGACACAGGCAGACAGACAGTCAAAGACATAAGACAGCTGGTATTGTCCTCGTGCTCTCTGTTTTAAAGATTTATTTATTCCACTTGTTACTATTATTTTTAATTTGACTAGAGTGAGAGAAAGAGAAAGCAAATCACCAGGTTGGGGACTCAGACTGTGGTCAGCCATGTGGGAATCCAGTACCTTAAACGCCATGTCACCTGCTGGCCCCCTCTTTTTCATTTTAGAGATTTTCTTTTTGTTGTTGTTGCTATAGAGCATGTTCGATCACCAGAGAAAAAGAGAGATAGAGAAAGAAAGAAAAATCACCCTCTCCCCCAGGGGGTAGCTGTGGTGCAATCACTTCTCCATCATTCTCTTCTTGGGATTTCGTGCTCAGTGTGATTGATTTTCTCTCTCTCTCTCTCTCTCTCTCTCTCTCTCTCTCTTTTTTAGAGATTTTTCCCTATAGGGTGCATGCACTTTCCAGAGAGACAGAGAAACAGAAAATGAGAAATCACCCGCCCAGGAGGGATGGCCTTGCTGCAATCCCTTCTCCTCCATTTTCCTTTCAGGATCTTAGGCATGCATGCTCACACACCTGGCATGAGTTTTAAGTCACCGGGTTGGGGACTCCAACCATGGTCAACTATGTGGGAGTGCAGCAACACAACCATTATGCCATCTGCTGATTTCCTCATTGTGATTTTCAAGCTACTGGGGCCGGGACTCAAACCACAGTTGGCTATATGGAAATCCCATGCCTTAACCGCTATGCCATCTGCTGGACCCAGTGTCCTTTCTTGACAGTTTTTTCCTGGCCCCCAGGACAACCTTGTCTCCTAGTTTCCCTCCCACCCCTCCAGCAGCTCCTTTTCCATATACTTCACTTACCGCTTCTCTTGACCCCCAAATGGGGTTCTTGAACTAAGCTCTGTACCCTCCTCTCTCTGGGCTCTCTCATCCTCTGCCCCGAGTCTCCCCTTCTGTCTCCCCCCCCCAAGAATTATTTATTTAATTTCATTTATTCATTATTTCATTTTAATTTGACCAGAGAGAGACACAAAGAGAAAGAGGCAGAGGGAAAGTGAGAAAGAAAGCCTCTAGGTCTGGGACTCGAACCGTGGTCGACCGTGTGGGAGCGTCCAGCGCCTTAACCACCATGCCACCTGTTGGTCCCTCCCTTTCTGTCTTGACAACTCCATGTCCCCATCTGCAGCTTCTTTCATGAGCTCCAGTGGGTCCAGCCCTCTCACTGGGGCACACCCTTGGGTACCCATGACTGACTCTCAGTACAGGGACCAGCTGAGGAGCAAACAGGGAGATGGAGATAGTAAGAGATGACGGTCCTCTCTCCATGAGGAGATGGCGGAGCAAGTAGACTGGAGCTGTTAGTGTGGAACGAAGCACTCTAGAGGTGGGTGGGTTGGAATTGACATGGCACCCGTTGGTCCTGTTTTGTGACTCTCTAGGACCAGTTGTGGAGAGGAGGTCAGAGAGAGGGGGTGGTTGAGCTCATCCACAGTAAAAGCTTTCCGAGTGGCCGTGAAGGAAAGTCCAACTGGCAAGAGACTCAGCCCATAGACAAATGGTGGGAATCTAAGCTAGAGGGGGCCAAGGAGAGGGGAGGAAGGACGCTGTTGCACTGGGGTGCAGAGGGATCTGGAAGTCCCGAGTGGGGTAGGACAGAGGAGGGGAGTGAGGAGGCTAGAAGGAGCAGAGCCTGTGCTCAGAGAATGCAGCACTGGAATCAGTGGCATTGGAGGTGGCACCCTTACGGGTGATGACGAAGCCCGAGATAGGATCCCTGCAGGAGGGAGCGTGTGCAGCATGGAGCAAAGGCCTCTGGGGATGAGGCCAGGACAGTGGGCACAGAATCCTCCCTGAGGAAGTGTGGCTGTTAGGGCAGAGGCCAGAGTGATCCCTTCTGGGAGGGAAAGCAAGTGGTTGACTTTTAGCTACATTGGGCAAAGCGCCCCTTGGGGTGGAGGGCAAGGTAAGGAATGGAAGGTGGCAGGCTGGTGGCCTCATGGTTTAGGAAACCAGATCCCACATGGCTGACTGTGCAGTTTGAGTCTTGGACCCAGTGACTTGAGAAACACCTGTCTGTGTGTGCCCAAAATCCCAAGAGAAAGGAGAGAAGGAACAGGAGGAATCGTGGTGTGACCATGCGCTATGGAGTGCTTCTCTTCTTCTTCTCTCTGTCTCTCCCTGGAGGATCCACACACTTGTAGAAAAGGAAGGAGGGAAGGAAGGAGAATGGGAGATACCTGAGGAAGGAGAGGAGGGGAAACTGACCACTGTCTGCCCTGCCCAGCTGTGCCCCATGTGTGGCCCCCTGAATTGCTCTGGGGTCCGGGTAGCCCAGAGAGGAGCAGATACTGGCCCGAACCAACAGCGATGGGCCAGGCAGGGAGTGGGGTCTGGATGTGCCCCGAGGAGGCCTCATGGCCAGAGGAAAACACAGGGTTCTCCACTCTGAGCAGCTGGACCTGGGAGCCCTGCAGGTTACACTGGAGTGCCCTGATATGGGGGAGAAGCCGGAACTTGACCCAGAGCAGACTCAGGGCAGGGAAGGGAAGGAAAGAGAAAGGTCTCGGGGCACGGAGTAGACAGGAGATGGATGGATCTGGGGGTGCAGTGAGAAAGGGGCTCCCCTTGGGCACTTTCACTTTTCTGCTGTCCTAGGTCCCAGCCCATCTCTGGACTCAGTTCCTCCAGCCCCATTCCCAGCCTCTCGGGGAGTCCCTCCACCCCGATAGCCCAGACCCTCCTCCCACACTCACCAGGCCAAGGTGGCCCCAGAACCAACTCCGTTTCGGGGGCTCTGGGAAACATCGGAGGCGGCGGCAGTTGTTGTAGAAGGTGTAGGCCCAGGCCAGGACACGGGACAGAAGCCAGGAGGCCCCAGCCAGCAGCAGGAGCTGCCATGGGGAGGCTGCCACAGGCTCCAGGCCCAGCCAGGACAGGCCCAGCTGCGGCATCCTGGGGACAGAGGGGAAAGTGGGTGGGTCCTGAAGACACAGAAAGGCAGAGAGCTGCAGGGACAGCTCAGAGAGGGCAGGGAGACCCTGGGCAATTGGGGAGACAGAGAGCTGAGGTGCCGAGAGAGGCAGTCGGCCTTTCTGGTTTCTTCTAGGAGCTCCTCTTCCCTCTCCTAGGACCTCCTCGGCCTGGTCTGTCTTTATATAGACAGACAGATCCCTGCCCGCCTCCTCCCTGCCTGGCAACCAGCAAAAACGAGGGGTGTGGGGCAGCGGTGTCCCAAGAGCTGGAGGCACCAGTTCCAGGGTCAATGCTGGACTCTCCTGAACACTCACCTCTGACTTCACCCTCTACCACTTGGCTTTTCTCGTTGTAAGTTGAGGATAAAAGTCTTTTAGTCTTTTATTTTTATTTATTTATTTGTTTATTTATTTTAGTTTTTGTTTGTTTTTGCTATAGGGCATGAGCACTAGCCAGAGACAGACAGAGAAAGGGGGAGAAGGAAAGTAAGACATTACCTTCCCCGCCTACTGGGAGATAGCCATACCGGAATCTCTCCTCCTCCACTTTCCTCTCAGGATTTTGGACAGGCGTGCACACAGACCTGGCCTGGTTTCCAAGCTGCCAAGTCTGGGACTTGAACTGGTTAGTTGGTCATGTACCATGTAGTATCTTTTTTTGGGGGGGTGTATGGTCACACCGCAATCCCTTCTCCTCCATTCTCCTCTCGGGATCTTGGGCACGCATGCACACGCGCCCAGCGTGAGTTTTAAGCCACCGGGTCTGGGACGCGAACCGTGGTCGACTACGTGGGAGTCCAGCGACATAGCCATTATGCTAACTGCTGGTTCCCAGGTCATGTACCATGTAGTGACTTAACCACCATGTCACCTGCTGGCCTCAAGTTCTTTTCTTCATTTTTTAAAGAATTATTTTATTTTATTTAAAAAAAATATTTATTTATTTTAATTTGACCAGAGAGGAGCAGAGTGAGAGAGAGAGAGAGAAAGAGAAAGTGAAAAAGCAAGCTGCCAGGTCTGAGACTTGAACCGCGGTTGGTCATGTGGGAGTCCAACGCCTTTAACCACCATGCCAATTGCTGGCCCCCAATTCTTTCATTTTTAAAAGATAATTGCCTGACGATGTGTACTCTTACCAGAGAGAAAGAGAGAGGTGTGCACACGCCATAGTCCTTTCTTCATTTCTCTGTCTAGTCAGGATTTGGGCATGCATGCACATGTGTCCAAGCCATTGGAACTAGGACTCAAACCATGGTCAGTCATGTGGAATCCAGCTCCCTTAACTATGAGGCCACAGGGCCAGCTTGAGGAGAAACTTGTACACCAGCCAGAAGAGCTGGTGCTCTTGCAAGTTCACTGAGCACCAAGTACAATGCTGGACACTATCTAGGCACAGGGGTGGCACCACAACCCTCCCCGGTGTCAAGGGCAACATCTAGTAGGGAGAAGGGCTGGGCGCACGTGCGTGTGTGCACAAGATCCCGAGAGGAGAACGGAGGAGAAGGGATTGTGGCGTGGCCATCCCCCCGGGGAGGGGGGTGATTTCTCGCTTTCTGCCTCTCTGTCTCTCTCTGTCTGTCTGGCAAGCGCATGTGGCCTATAGCAAAAACCTCTCAAAAAAAAAAAAAATGGAAAAAGAAAAGAAACGAAACCAGCCCAAGTGGCAAAATGGGTCCCAACAGCCATCCAAATGCAGATGTCAGAGATTCTTTCACCAGGGTAAAGAAGACTGGGGCAGGGCCCATCGGCCATCCAGGACCAGGTGGCAGGAAATGAAACCGAGCCAGTGTGGAGGTGGGGATTCGCAGGTAAAGACTTGCCAAGCCCGAGGACGGTGGAGGCTCCCCAAGGTTTGTCTTCTCAGCAGGAACATCTCAGTGCCAAGTCACACAAGCCTGGTTTAGGAATGGCCCCCAGCAAGGGATGGAGGGATGGAGTCACTGAGAGCTGAGGAAGAGAGGCTGGTAGCTTCTCTCCAGGAGCCCTTTCTTTCCTTCTTTCCTTCCTTCCTTCCTTCCCTCTCTCTTTCTCTTTCTTTCTTTCTTTCTTTTTTTTTTCTTTTCTTTTCTTTTTTTTTTTTTTAAGTGATTTTTGCTATAGGGCACGTGTGCTCACCCGGAGACACAGAGAGAGACGGAGAGACAGAAAGCAAGAAATCAACCCCCTCAAGGGGTTGGCCACACTGCAATCCTTTCTCTGTTCTCCTCTCGGGATCTTGGGCTAGCACACACACACTCCCAGTGGGTTTTAAGTTGCCAGGTCTGGGACTTGAACCACAGTTGGGTACATGGGAGTCCAGCAACGTAACCATTACACCATCTGTTTGTCCTCCCAGGGGCCCTTCGACCCCCACCCAAAGCAGGGAGAGCCAGCAGAGCAGCAGGCAAACTTCAGGCAAAATCCCACCATCATCCTCTGAGCCTCAGTCTTCATGTCTGATATAGAACCAGTCAGGTCCACTGAGCATTGCAAACTTTCTGTCACCCTCTCTGTGGGTAGAGAGAAACGGGAAAAGCAAATCTCAAGTGATACGTGAGTTGCAATCCCATCTATATATAAAACGAATGAGTATATTGAGTGTGCATACATTTCCACATGCATTGAAAAATAATTCCAAGGACCAGCAGGTGGCATGGTGGTTAAGGCGCTGGACACTCCCACATGGCCGACCATGGTTCAAGTCCTAGACCTGGTGGCTTGCTTTCTTGCTTTCTTTCTCTCTCTCTTTCAATCTCTCTCACCTGGAACAAAATTAAAAACAAAACAAAACAAAACAAAAAAAAAAGGAGTGGAGCTCATAGTTGGTATAGAACACAGGCGAAGTCTTCTTTGTATGTCACCATCAAGACACATCCCTCGGGAACCAGCAGTTAGCGTAATGGCTATGTCGCTGGACTCCCACATAGTCGACCGCGGTTCGTGTCCTGGACCCGATGGCTTAAAACTCACGCCGGGCGCGTGTGCTTGCATGCCCAAGATCCCGAGAGGAGAATGGAGGAGAAGGGATTGCGGCGTGACCATCCCCCCTGGGGGGTGATTTCTCGCTT